AATCAAAGTCAATCCGCCCGCAAGTTCCCTGGGTTGAAAATATCTGTGGAGCCAGTTCAAATGTCAGATGATATAACTGGTTCATTTGTCCTACGTGGTACAAAATACTCTTCTTTGATTTTTTATGTACCATATGCGCCCACAATACTACTATAATGATAAACATACATACACATGTATAAACATAAACATACACGTATTTTTTGGAGCAAGTCGGAATTTAAAACTAAAGCAAAAACACGTAACATGTTTCCTGTCCGGCCCACTGGATACTTTGAAAGGGTGGGGGTGCATTTCCATTGGACAGAAAAAAGCACACACAGTTTTATATCGACCTAAGCCTTATGATAATATTAAAGAATTGGTTTACGCTCTAACTATGCGTATATCGAGTTACGGATGCACTGGGAAGTTTGGAGAGGACTCAAAAAGCAAGAAGCTAGAGTTGCATCGATAATTCGAAACACGCACTCTAAGTATGGACCAATTTTTTAATATTAAGCATAAGGCTTCTGGAAACCTAAGTTCAGTGAGTGGGGACCTTGCTATTTGGCACTCGAGCCACGTTTTTATCTTTTCCTATCAAAACGTACTTACCTTTTGGCAGGGTGGGGGGATGAATCTACAACTCCCTCTTTTTTAGCTCCTTAGTTATTTCAGGGTGCTGTTACCCTCTTAATATCATACCAATAATTAATTATTATTTTCTATTCAATAAATTGTTAAAACTTGATATAGAGTACATGACATTTGTTGTTGTTGTTGTTATTGCTGTTGTTGTTGCTGTTAAAAAGAGCCTTAAACGAAACTTCTTCTCATCGAATAATTTCCAAAGAGTTACAAATTTGGAAAAGCGGTAACAGGGAAATTTTTCAGTCCACGGGATCGAAGAGGGCAATCCCGAACAGGGAATATGAACTTATCTTGCCCGCTAAAGTAACCAATCAGAACACGCGATTCCATTTGATCTGCCCGCTCGAGAAGCCAGTCAAACGATAAAAACGGATTTGAGCGAACGGAATATCGTTACTTACCTACGTTGCAGGCTAACCAACCGTTCAAGATCCATTTTTATTGTTGTAGTGCCCGGATGTCGCGTCCAGTCCCAATCATTATCGATATCCAGAGTTTTAAGTGACGCCTCGCTGTTTGCAACGAGAAGTGCTCCATGACTCTGATAAAGACCATAAACATTTTGATTGCTTGAAGCCTCGTAGTCCCAGACATACTTGTTGAAGCCTTTCATTGTTACCGCCCAATTTTCTCTTCGTGCAATCACTAGCGAAGCATAATTTTTCGTCCAGAATCCCTGGGGCGAGCTTTCGGCCGTTATACTCATCGAGGCAGCTTTAGAGCTTATTTCCTCCATGATGTTGATCGAACCAATAGAGTTTAGGTAATAGACACTTGTGAATATCGTACCATCTTCCAAGTAATCGCTAACATCCTTATTGCTTGCATCATTAAGTCGTAAAAACATTTTGATCTTATCACTGTCGAGAGCAGTAATTTCACCCAGA